CGACCCTCCACAACGCCGCCGTCTTCCTCTCATCTTCGACCGCTCATCTCCCCTCAGATCCACCCAACTTCGCCGTCATCTCCGACCGCCGCTCACCACGAACACCGCCGACCAGACCGCAAATCGCCCCATTCCCTCTCTCCGATCAAATCGCCGGCGTCTCTCTCTCCTTTTCCGATCATCCCCAACAGATGTCGTTCCTTCACCATCTCCGATCAGCAACCAACCACCGCCCCCCTTCATCACTGCAGAAACCCCTCTTCGACCCCCAGCAACCGACCACCCCCCGACCATTCTCCGACCGCATCTCCGACCGACGCCACCCTCAAGCCAAGCTCAGCACCGCCTCCCTCACAACTCCGATCTAGCAGCCCCCCACCCCTTTGCCATCCAAGCTCAGCGCCGCCGTTCTCATCCCTCTACTCCGATCCAGAGATAATTGCCAGCACAGCACCACCATCGCCGGCCATCTCCGCCGTTCACCACGAACACCGGCGACCAGACTTCCCCTCTCCTGCAACCACCCTGATTTCGACATCGCCGCACAACAACCAGCGACTGTTTTCAACACCTACTGTCAATTCTTGTTCGAGAGCCTACATGGGACCTAAGCGCGGACGGCCTAGTCAGGGAGCTTCAATTTCTACAACGCGACGACGCAAAGGTAACTCTCCCCCTCCCCAAAATCCTCATAGTATAGAATTTATTGATGCACAGCAACAATCTAGATATAATACATTGGTTAAGCGGGGAATTCTGAGTACCCGCTATTTGGATGAGAATTGTTTGCGTAAGTTAGGGCTGTGGGATGATGTTTCATACCTCCTAAGACGGGTTGGTTGGTTAAATTTTGTAGAGGCTAAACATCCCACGTACGAGCGTATTACTCTCGAATTTTTGAGTTCTCTTGATGCTGTTTTATTTAATGGTGAGGGGGTAAAGGAAGGAAAAATCACTTTTAGGCTATTTAACCAGTCTCACACACTTACATTAGCACAATTAAATCAGATATTTGGTTTTCCGGAGGGTGGGGCTAGAATTGTTCCTAAAAACTTTAACTTGACCCCATTTTGGACTTCAATCGCACGCTCTACAACTCAAAGACCTTATGACCCCTCCTTGTCACGAGCGTCTGCTGTTTATAACCCATGTTTTAGATATTTACAGAGGTTCATGGCTTTTACCATTTTCGGTCGAGGCGAGAGTGATGGAATCATGTGTCAGAGAGAACTTTACTTTTTATGTGCCATGGTTGAAGGCCATAAGGTTGACACAGGAGCTTTTATGATTCATCATATGTGTCGTGCAGCGAGAGCAACGAGCGGAAAAATTGTTTTTGGTGGCTTGATTACCACTTTAGCTTACGGGATGGGTTTAGGAGAATTTGTAGATGGACTTCATCCATTAAGCCCTAGTGCGTCCATTAACCTCGATGCTTGTCTACATATGAAATTGATTAGTAATAAGGGCAATAGGTTATGGTTATGTTTTCAAGACAATTATCTTTTCCCACTCCCTGATCCTGATCGCACGACCATCCATGTTCACGCCAATTGGTCCTACCTAACATCTGATTTTGTGATTTGTGATGGTCATGAGGTTGTACCAGCTGAGGATGCTGACACGGTACCCCCGATCCCTATTCAGGCTGAGCCCACCAGGGGAACTAACTCTTTCCATCACCCTGATTGGTCAGCGGAATTATCAGCTATCCATATTTCTCTTGCCTCTCTTACTAACCGTGTAGGTGCCATCGAGCAAGAGCAACAACGTCAAGGACAACTACTGGACTCTATACACTACATGATGCAGTCTTTTCACGAGCGGCAGCTCCGACAGGATGCCTCCGCACCGCCTCCTTCTGACTAGTGAGTTGGTATGTCCTCTGCACCATTGCACTAACTTCTATCTTTTTACATGGCTTTTGATTGCAAGTTAACAATATGGGAGAACCAGACTTGAATGTTCTCTTGTCTTATAGATTTTAGCGTTTATGTGGCTAGCATCATAACCATTACTCTATTGAGACAAGAGGGAAATTAAATTTGGTAGACAAATAAAACCTGTGAGACTTTGAGCCTAAAATTGGATGCATTACATATCCAATCATTATTTTCTTTGCTTGTGTGATATTCTCCAATGGTGTAGGATACTAGAACTTGCATTGAATCTCTTCAAGGCCACATATAACTTTTGTATGCATAAAAGGTGATTGAGGCACATTTTTGTTTATAGTCCACATTTGCCAAATAGCCTACCATGCACTATTGTTCCCTTTGATTAGCCCCCTTGAGCCTATGAGCCTAATTTTTGTTGATTAAACCCACATATGTAACCTTCAAAATCCGATTTTATTCCTTACCCATTGCCTAAGCTAGTGGAGCACATTTTATGATACAATGGGTTATATGAGTAATGTGGTGTAAGCTTGGGGGTGTGACAGTAGGCGTTTGCTTCCCTTTTCATAATTCTTTCGAAAAAAAAGAAAAAAAAATTCAAAAAAAAAAAGATGAATAAAGTTGTCATCTTTATGGTGTATGTAATTGCGGGTGTTGAAAGAATTCATTATGGCATACTAAAAGGAGTAGTTGGAAGAAGTTCTTTAATAGATGATGGAGTTTGTTTGAATTTCATTGATCTTATTTTGAGATCAAATATTTTTCAAGAATCGCTCCACTAGTGATAGGCTTTCAACTACAATCCAAATATCTATCCTACCTTTTTACCCTAGCCCCATTACAACCAAATAAAAGACCTCATGATTTTGTTGCATACCTTAGTTTTAGAAGTGGTGGAGAATAGAGATGAAATGCAAGCTTATGGATTGAATACATCCATTCAGAAGAATTTTGAGTGACATAATCTTATCCTTAAACACATGAGAGATTGAGAGTCCACTTATCCTAAAGTGAGGTCTACCAATTTAACTACCTGATCTATTGAGACATGAGGGGAATTAAATTTGGTAGACAAATAAAACCCGTGAGATTTTGAGCCTGAAATTAGATGCATCACATGTCCAATCATTATTTTCTTTGCTTGTGTGATATTTTCCAATGGTGTAGGATACTAGAACTTGCATTGAATCTCTTCAAGGCCACATATAACTTTTGTATGCATAAAAGGTGATTGAGGCACATTTTTGTTTATAGTCCACATTAGCCAAATAGCCTACCATGCACTATTGTTTCCTTTGATTAGCCCTCTTGAGCCTATGAGCCTAATTTTATATGTAACCTTCAAAATCCGATTTTATTCCTTACCCATTGCCTAAGCTAGTGGAGCACATTTTATGATACAATGGGTTATGTGAGTAATGTGGTGTAAGCTTGGGGGTGTGACAGTAGGCGTTTGCTTCCCTTTTCATAATTCTTTCGAAAAGAAAAAAGAAAAAAAATTCGAAAAAAAAGATGAATAAAGTTGTCATCTTTATGATGTATGTAATTGCGGGTGTCAAAAGAATTTATTATGGCATACTGAAAGGAGTAGTTGGAAGAAGTTCTTTAATAGATGATGGAGTTTGTGTAGGTGTCATTGATCTTACTTTGAGATCTAATCTTTTACAATTATAGCTCTACTAGTGATAGGCTTTCAACCAATCCCAAATATCTATCCTACCCTTTTGACCCTAGCCCCATTACAACCAAATAAAAGACCTCATGATTTTGTTGCATGCATTAGTTTTCGAAGTGGTGGAGAATTGAGATGAAATGCAAGCTTATGGATTGAATACATCCATTCGGAAGAATTTTGAGCGATAGAATCTCATCCTTAAACACATGAGAGATTGAGAGTCCACTTATCCTAAAGTAAGGTCTACCAATTTAACTACCTGAAGGTCTCAATTTTAGTACTTTGGGATTGAAGCTAGTTACATGAATTTCTTTTTTTCTACTTTGATTTGAGAATTGGATAGGATGGCTATCCTTGACTTGTGACGCTTGTGATCGTAAATAAATTTTGAAATGTGATTTTGTTGAGAGTTTTGGAAATTAATTTGTTAAGTCCCGATGAAAAGTATTTGTTTTGTGATATGTTTGATATTGGTTAAAGGATTGATGAGGGGGTGATCCCTACTCTATTTGGCTTTCACTCCTCCTAATTTTTATTGTT